AGACTGCTCCGCTGACTCTTGACGAACTCTGTTTGGCATCTGGAGCAGTCTCTTGATGGATTCCGTGTGGTATTTTGTGTTGAGTCTTGCACCACTTCCGTCTGTTGAGACTGCTCCGCTGACTCTTGAAGAATTCTGTGCGGAATCTTGCGTTAAGTCTTGCACTTCCACCTTCCTCCCCTCCTTCTGCCCTTCCTCCTCCTTCTCAGGACCGTTAGTCTGGATCTATTTACAGTTTCTCTTCTTCTCTAGAGACTGCCGTTGTTTGCTTGTAAGAGCCCGATGAATGCGAGTGCAGATTCATTATGAATGAAGAAACTTTGACCGAATCAACCAGTGATGGACTTCTTCGGTAATGTTGAACAGATGTCAAGCCAAAGAGTGTAAGCTGAAAGCATGAAAAGGAGGGCAAAGGAAAGACAAATGCTGACATCAAGTATAGTGTACCATTTCTTCTCTTATGCCACTTATTCGATTGCCACGTCATAATCCGATCTTGAGCGACATACGAGATGACTTTACATAAACTTTGAAAGGTTTCATCCGGTCTAAAGAGGAAGATCTTGGTTCATTTCGCTGAATTTGGGCGTTTCTACTTGTGACCTCTTCTTGTGAAACGATAGGGATAGCGTTTCGTTTTATTGCTATTATCAATGCTGTGTGATAACGTGAGAGCGGAAATGTGTGATCCTGGTTGAATGTGAAGTGGATCTTGAACGAGAAGAGAATGATACTGGTTAAATGAGAGGCGCCTTTTGAGTGCGGATGAGAAGAGGCCGCCAATAGTCACTTCTTACTCCGCCGTCATCGTCCTCTCATCATTTCACCATCATCATCCTCTCCTTACTCCGTAAGTATCATCCTCTTCCTATCTTACAATCATCACCTTCTCCTCACTCCTCCATCATCACCCTCTAAGTGTTTGGAGGAGGGTGTTTGGAGAATTGCGAAACGAAAAGTTCTGGCTCATCTTGCTTCCGTCTCGTTAACGAGTCGTACAGGATGGACGCTTCTTTGATAAAGTGTATTTGTTCTGTCATCCGAAGAGGTCTGCGCTCAAGACCGATGTTTCTTCGACTGCCAGTGATCGCTTGCAAGAGTCCCGTGAATGCGAGTGAAGAGTCATCCTCGAGTGAAGAAAATTTTGCCCGACTTGATCGATCTCACTTAAACCCAAGATTTAATGATGAACTTCTTCGGCAAAGTTGAACGGATGTCACCGGGAGATGCAGTCAAAAGCGTGAAGTGGGAGCGTGGAAAAAGAGGGCAGAAGAAAGACAATTGTTGATGTCAGGTGTACCATTTCTCTTGTTGAGACTGCTCTGCTGACTCTTGACGAACTCTGTGTGGCATCTGGAGCAGTCTCTTGATGACTTCTGTGTGGTATCTTGTGTTGAGTCTTGCACCACTACCCTCTGTTGAGACTGCTCCGCTGACTCTTGAAGAATTCTGTGTGGAATCTTGCGTTAAGTCTTGCACTTCCACCTTCCTCCCCTCCTTCTGCCCTTCCTCCTTCTCAGGACCGTCAGTCTGGATCTATTTACAGTTTCTATTCTTCTCCAGAGACTGCCGTTGTTTGCTTGTAAGAGCCCGATGAATGCGAGTGCAGAGACATCATGAATAAAGAAACTTTGACCGGCTTGATCGACCTCGCTTCAAATCAACCAATGATGACGGACTTCTTCGGTAATGTTGAACGGATGTAAAGCCAAAGACGGTGAGGTGAAAGCATAAGAACGATGGAAGAGGAAAGACAAATGTTGAGGTCAAATGTGTGCCATTTCTTCTGTTGTCCCACTTGTTCGAATGCCATGTCATGATTCGATCTTGAGCGACGTACGAGATGAGTTTTCATGAATTTTGAAAGGTTTCATCCGATCGGAAGAAGAAGATCTTGGCTGATTTGGGTCCGACTCAGGCGTTTGTACTTGCCAGCTCTTTTCATGAAGTCCTGTTTATGTTGATTGCCGCGATCAATGTTGAATGACGACTTGAAAAGAGAAGTGTGTGATGCTGATTGTACGATGGGTGGATCTCGAATGAAAAGAGAATGATGCCGGTTGAATGAGATGTCATCCATGAATGAGAAGTGGATGATTCCTTTTTTGGATGAGGAGTGATTCTCGGATGACAAGAGATTGATGCCGGTTGAAAGGAATTGATGCCGGTTGAATGAGATTAATGCCGGTTGAATGAGATTAATGCCGGTTGAATGAGATTGATGCCGGTTGAATGAGATGTGATCATCAAGAGAGAAGTGAATGATGCCGCTTGAATGAGCTGTGATCTATAAACGAGAAGTGGATGATGCCGCTTGAGGGAGAACGTATATGAGATGGCGTTCATTGAATCTTCAGAGGTTTCACGGGTGCATCAATGGAAGACCTTGGTTGGTCAGGGTTGCATGCCGGCGTTTGCACTTACGAGGCTTTTCTTGTGAAGTAAAGTGATGTAATGTTTGCTTATATTTGAGTGCCATAGTCATTGTGTTGCGAGGAATTTGTGATGCTGACTGAATGACAAGTGGGTCTTGAATGACAGGTGGATCTTGAATGACAGGTGGATCTTGAATG